GAAACCTTTGCACCTATATCTAGACTTAAAGCTGTTAGATTGTTATTAGCTTGTCGCCGCCGTCTAAAAAAGAGAGAAGGCGGTCGGAGCGACGCGATGGTTTTGACCCTTTTTGATTTTCGCATTTTTTTATGGGTGGTTACAACACCTTTAGGTTGTCCGATAACCGGGCTAACCTAGGGGCGAGGTTTTCGAAAGGTCGTCCTTGGGTTGTCCGATAACCGGGCTAACCCAAGGACTAATTTTGAGGGGTTCTGTGGAGTCGCCACCGATGTTTTTACCGGAAACATCGGAAAAGGGGTTTTTAAAAGGCGTTGGTTTTCTAAAACCAACTTTGGTCATTAGAACCAGAGTTGGGTAAGGGAGTTAGTTATGTGTAAAGGAAGTATTAGTTCCTTTACTACGCCCCTTTCGGGTTCCCTATGATAGACCAGCTTTTTTGTTAATAAATAAACCGAAAAAATACGTTTTTGCCCTTTTTATTTTGCGGAATTAAAAATTATGACTACATGGCCCTAATCTATTGCATAATTTAAATTTAAAGCGATAAGAGTAGAGAGGAAGAATTTAAACCTCCGAAGCAAGCTTTTCTTTTTATTTCTTTAAAACAAATGGGTGCTTTTTGGAAGCCCTTCACTCTACACGACACTGGAAACTCTTCTAGACGCCGAAAAAATGCTCACAAAAGCACTCAGAAGCTCCAGAAATGTGTCGGAGGGATTCTAGAGAGAAGTTTTAGAGAGAAGGGAGAGCAAAAAGTTGTGTGGTGCGTGGAAATGAGGGGGGGAGGCCCCTATTTATAGGTTTTCGCGCCTGGCAGTGGTAAGACCGCCGTTCTCGTCTGACAGGGTCGAGACCGCCGTCTCGCCAAACGAGACCGCCGTCTCGTCCTGCGCAGGTGGCGAGACCGCCGTCTCGTCCTTCGCAAGTGGCGAGACCGCCGTCTGGGAAAGCGAGACCGCCGTCTCGCCATTTGCAGGTAGAGAGACTGTCGTCTCGTCAAACGAGACGGCGGTCTCGCCACTTGCCTGAGGCGAGACGGCGGTCTCGTCC